TGCTTTGGGCTTGGCTCTCCGTGGACAGGCAGTGCGTGCCGTGGTGATCGCCAGTTCAGTTATTTTACGGTATGTAACGCTGCGGTGAGACCGGTGTTACTCTATGGCTCAGAGACCTGGTCACTTACCACTTAAGACATTAACATACAGATCGTCTTTGCGCACCGGTGCTTTCGGTATATTGCTGACATCTGGCTGCAACACCGGCTGAGCAACACTGAGGTCCATCGGTTGGTGTTTCCCAAAGAACCCTCTGATGCCTCACTAGATTGCCCTTTACACTTGAACCATTTACGTTAACCGGGTGATGTCTTCCGTATGCCGGTCGACCAGCTTTCTCAATCGACACTATATGCTCTCGCCACAGGAAATCGGGCGAAACTGCGAGGTTACCATTCAGTGACGTACCACGAGGGCATGAGCACATTAATCAAGATGCATGATTAGTGTAACGCGTGCCACTATCGTGGATGGGCGGAATCAGTAGCGCTTCCGAATTCGGTTCCGCGCAACTATCCGACAATGACCCATCCCGATTAAGTTTATCCGCTTTCCTAATCCCCTTTTCCATCTTCTGCTTACGCCGCAGCTCTTTTCCCTCACTACTTTGATTGATTTTTCATCGCGAAGCCAGATGTGGTAGCTGAATTCACAGCATTTTGTATCCAAATCACTGTTGTTTAACCGAACTGCATACTGGTTGGGCCGTCTCTCTTATGGTCATACCTCCTCTTTTCTCCCCTTCCGATATGCCCATTTGGCTTAATTTGTCCGTGTTACAGTCCATTGTGAACACAGTCGCTCTGCAACTGTATGCCTGCATTGACAGCCAACTCCGAAAACGAATACTGCTGACCGTGGGTGCACGCAAGGTGATTTCCATATTGTTGACAACCGCATAAAATTGCAGCTACTTCCTCCTCCCCTTCGCGTGATGATACCTGTACACCGCGTACTCTTCGCATGAATTATTAATGCCCCTCTCTGTTCACCGGAGCAACTCCGAGACACAGTTTGTGGTCAATGATTGCTATCGATCGGTAGTTCAGTCGATTATTTCAATGAGTTGGTGAGAGCTTAGCACTGCTTGCAAAACTGTCCATCATGGGGTTTGACCCTCAAACGAACTAGCAAATACAACTTGGAGGTGACACTGAATACGGACACGTAGTAGCGCGGGCCAAGTTTTGGCATTCTGGCGGTTCTGACATTCTTTAACTCCCCGCACTATGTTCCCATAAATCGGTATTTGAGCCCTACTCTGCTTAGAATGTGTTGTCGGCTTATAGAGATATCCTCCCTACCATCCACACTACGGGGGCCCGTATGGTAATAGTAAATCGCGAGCTTTAAATCAAGTCAAGAGTGTATCGTCTATTGTCTGACAACACGAGACACTGACCTGAAATCTGTGTCGCCATGAGTCAAAATCCAAGGTATTCGGATGAATCTATTGTTGCTCCTGGGTCCCGATAGAATGAAAGGACTAGTTACAACCTTTCTCGTAGTATGGTAGCTAGTTAACAATAACTTGTTACGGGGAACTTACTTGAAACTCGCCAATTTCCATTTCTACCCTACTAACTAAGTGGGCAGCAAAAGCCCGAAGATATGACGGCATTACAGTAGTAGACGGCGAAAAAATTGCACGGTTGATTTACTTTTACAATGTGCTGCAAGACACATGTTGACTTGTCCAAGCGGTCTGAAATTCATTTCGACGCTTTGTGAGAGGCGTTTCATATTGTGGTCTTAGCAAAAGTAGCGTATCTGCACACTGGCCCCATCGACCCAGCCTCCACATGTTCCGATTTCATTTGCGCGTTTGTGCGCACTAGTCTCCTCTCATGTGCTCGTTCTGTTGGCCTAATCAGGCCAACTGCTGTAACGATTTTCCTCGGCGAGGCCGAATCGACACGCTTAACACACATTGCTACTATGTTACAATATCTCCTCATTTGCTAATACCATTTAGATTTTTCGGTGAACGCACATCTAATCCACTCGCACCCATCCCGTTTGCTTTGTATGGAGCCTCGTGACGGTTAAAAGTCACGTTTTCTCTGCTGTCTATTACCAAACTAGGCCCTTTAATCCACTATATTTGTAGTGGCTAACCAAGCTGCTTACCTTATATCCAACATCCCTTTCAGTTCGTTCCCTTCCGCGACTTTCACGATGCCAACTCTGTGGAGGAAAGCAAGCGTCGATTGTCCAAAGCGGTTCTAGCCGAGATTCCCGATCAGCTGGTGTCTTACATGCGGATGCAAGGCATCATCCCGTTACGCACTCTGGAACTTGGCTTCAAGACCGACCCTACCAATGGTCAGCGCACATCCTCCAGACCTTCGTCTGGAGGGGGCTCGTGGCCACCATGTCCCACCTCTATTGCTGTTCCCAGCGCCCCTCCTGAACGTTGATCCTTCCTCGTTACTCTGATTCACGTGCAACAACCAAGCCCCCTCTGTCTGCAAACCACCCCCCCCGATGTTTTGTCAATCATCATCTATGCTCAAAGTATCCAATTGGCGTAATCTTCCCTTGTCGCTCAAAATGCACATCTGCGATCTGGCCAGATTTTATTGTTTGATTTCATCTTCGTCTACCTTTTCACTAACGTCTAACGTTGTCCGCATTTGTCACCACCAACTTTCTCTTCATAGTGTTTAATTTCCCTACCGTGCAATAATGATGATACTTTTACCGCCGCTTTCTCACCGTGACCCTTGTACTTTTGTCTTTTTTATGGTGCTGCTCGGTTGGAGTCACCGTACACCCTACTGAACTGACTGTATAAATGTATTCTACTCGATATTGTTACTTTTCTAGGGACAATGGGGATGGTGATTGACACTCTTTTCGATCTTGATTCTTTCGCCGAAATAGGGTCGATCAAGTTTGCATGTTTTAGATCCACATGTTGGCGAAGGTGAGCTATACGAGAGCTGAGCAGTAAGTTTCTGGATACGCAGTACACACATTAGGTACAGATGACCTGGCAAGAAAAATGGGAACTGTAATCCATTCTGAACATTGTTCAGTGCTTTCAACTCATTGAACCCTATATCAGCATTTCAGCACAGCTCACAAAGGTCTCTATACTCTGACTATATGGAACTCAGTCGATATTACTGGAGGAGGATGATTTTCAATGACTACGAATGTGGTTTAAAGTAGTACCAGAGGGTTGAGCGATTGCGTGCTGCGTTTGGTGATGTTGCGCCTTCAAGGATCACCTTATTTGAGTGGTTTACAGAATTCAAGTGGTCCTTGGATGATGAGGCACGGTGTGGTCGACTTGTGGAGGCCACCACAGCGGACAAGATTGTTGTTGTGCAAGCGATACTGGAGGACGCGCGGGTGACTGCTGGGTAGAGCCATCGGGATCAATCCACACCATCCAACATGAGAATCGCTGACTCAGAAAGGTTTGCACACCCTGGGTACGCCATCATCTCAATGAGGACCAGAAAGCAGCTCGGGTAAATTGGTGCCGCACTATGCTTGACAAGCTTGTTGGTGGGCTTTCCAATGTTGTTTGGGATATCCTCAGTGGTGGTGTACAGCTTAGACCCAGAAACCAAGCAACAATCGACTTAGTGGACGGTCGTTAGTGGGGCGCCGGCGTGAGTGCAGTGTGTCCAAGCAGATGGTGACTGTGTTCGTGGTCAAGCTCGGTGTTGTGGCTACTGTACCGCTCGTACCGCAACGCACAGTCAACTGTGACTGGTATGCCACCCATTGTCTGCTACTAGTGCTGGCAACTGTAGCCAAGCGTCGTCCAAGGACTCGAGCACGGGAGAACTTGCTACACCATGACAACGCACCTGCACACAGGCCCCATGTCGTCGTAGGTTTTATGGCTAGGGAACGCCTCCAGGAGGTTGGTCACGCACTCTACATTCCAGACCTGGCCCCGTGTGACATTTTGCGTTCCCAAATGTCAAGCACATAATGCGTGGAATCCGCTACGAGTCTACAGAAGCTGTAGTAGAGGCCTTTGTTGAGCTGCTTGAAAAGTTACCCGCTTCGGTATGGTCTAGTTGCTTCTCCAAATGTTTTGTGCGCATGGATCTGTACATAAATAAGTAAATAAAGTTGTGTGTTTACCGACAGACGGTACACGGCCCCGGAAGAGCGAGCGATCATTTGTATAGTGAATACGTTTCATAATAGTAAAGAAAATTTTATTAATATAATTGCGGATCATGACTTTTTGTCCTTGGGTCCTAGACCCGTGCACCTCATATGTAACATTTACGGACGTTTGTATCATCAGGAGTAGATAATAAGAAGTACTACTAGGCTGCAGAGACACAGGATTTGGTATTGTATCTGCTCATATGTTTTTCATACCTGCTTCTGTCAATGTTTCTAGAGTTTGCTGTGAGTCAAACATCTACAACACATTTGGTATAGCGAAGAAGTTCTGAAGGAAATTCGAAACGTGACATGGCTTGTGCACATGCGTATCTGTAGGGGTAGTTTGTTTCACAGATCAGTGTATCTCACTAGGAAGAAATTCGACCGAGTTTTATGACTTGAAAGGTTTGTACGTATTCAATAGTTGCCATCAGGTGTGGGGTAGACTGCGGTCTTTCGTAGTTCAAGTGCGGTACTGTCTGCGTAAATTTGTTGGTTTATAATGTTGTAAAACAGAACGAGGTTGTTCTTTAGGCGTCTCAGCCAAAGATGATCCAATTGGAGTTTTCAACAGCGATCATAATAAGTCAGGTTTGAGCAGCGCCCCCTGAACAGCTTGGTAAATGATTGTTGGGCATTTTCCAGAGCCGTTCTACCTTTCTTTCTCAATTGCCTGTGAACAATAGTACAATATTTCAGAGTCGGTCTTGAACGCTGGTGGAGTTTACTTCGAGAAAATTTAATGCTTATTTTGTTGTAATTAATAAAACTTTTTGTGCACCCAAAAATCTATTGATCTATCCTCCTATCTAAACGAAACTCATTTGCTAAATAAGTGTATTCGCTCGGAACCGACTGACTAGCAACTGGGGCGACGGGAAAGATCCAGGAACACTTTTGATTCTGTGTAAATTTTTTATGCCTGGTGGATGAATCGTCTGAAATCCAGTTGGAAGCTCAACTTGCACAGCAGCCCCTGGACCTTTAGATCATGTCCCTCCTCGTATCAGGTAAGGTCCTTTCGCATTATCTCTGCCATGTCCTCGATTGATCCGCTGCAGAATTCACACAAATGATCGGGGTGGAGTCAAGTAACACCAATCAAGACAGCTGGCTAACAGGCATACTGAGGAAAATACCTCGACAGGATGGGCAGTTCAACCTTTGCAGACACTAGGGGGTGTGATGGTACCTGGCAATTCACGCGAACGAAACCAAAGTGACTACTTTTACAAAGACCGAGTCATCGGGGGGGGGGGGGGGGGTTGCGGGGTTGTGACTCAGGCACGCTTTTGTTCCGGGTCAAAGGGAAGTAATTTTACTGCACGCGACACTGATTCGGAGCGGACGACACATCAGGTGATGACAGTTGCTGGGCCGAGCGAGCGAAACAGACAGCCGGTTGGTGAAAAGCCAATTAGCACCGCTGACACAACAAGCTGCCCACATTTGCGAGGATTGAGTGAACGGACTAGGAGTGGTATAAATAGCTGTGAAGGAACGATGAGCGCGAGCCCATAAACTCAGTCAGATAGCTGGAAAGAATCAGCCATTGAAAGCAAGTTTCAGTGAAGAGTGACCAAAATTTATGTACCATATAAAATGTCTCAGTGTTCTTTATTAACCGATTTGGATCGGTCCCCAGCCTTCGCTTTGATTTTGAGAGGGCTACTTCGACAGGGAGGTCTGTTAACAAACGTAAATCCTAGTCTCCATTATCGATCGCTCTGTGCTCTCACCAGATGCCGGTGATCAGACACTAGCAATCCTGTAATGTCTTCAGTGCGCAGCACTCTGATCCACACAGTACAACTGGTCACACCCGGCATTGTAAACTTCCACAAAGCCACAAACTGATACTGCGCTTTTTTTTTACAGGTGGCTGATCCATTTAAAATTGCGCAATCTTTAGCAGTGTGTGATAACCTCTTTGGAGATGCATCCGCCGCAGGGGATACAGCAATTTAGGTACGTAACTGCTTTCAACAATTGTCTCGCGATAGGGAGAACTGGAAATTAGTCGACCCAGTTTTGTGGCCTAACTGTACAATCTGACGATAAAAAGCGCAAACCTGGGCACGCGAAGTGACTCGTTTGTTTCTTCAACCTCGATTAATTGATAGTTCGATCCGATCCAAAGGAGTCCATCCTATATGCACACTAATTTTGGTATCTGAACAACTAACCAGACCTCAGAAGAATTAGAAGCTCGAATGGACACCGGTTCGAATCCGCGTAGACCCTCGCGGTATACTCAGCCCGCGCGCGAATGGTGATGGTCGCGCGGCAGCGAAGCGCCGTTACGGCGTACACTTGGTGATTACTTACTTGCTTGCTTACTTACTTATCACCTATCCCGTTCGAATGTACTACACCATCATGGTCTCATCAGTGGACGGGGCAATATTGTTCAGGAAATTAATCCAGACGTGCTATCTCCCACTGGATTCAATAAGTGCACTGGTTTCCCGGCTCAGCTTCCTACCCACTTGTACGATAAATGATCGCTGATTGCTAGAGACGTGCCATCATTACACCAGTGTGCATTGGTGATTTTTGTATTTGTGGAAGTATAATGCCAAAAGCCCACTTTGCGGATTCAGATCAATTTGCCCACCTTAATTCCAGGACTGGTAGAACAATTAGTCTCCTACACTCCTTAGATGTCATCATTAGGCGGAAAGGACAATCACCAGCCTATGCACATTCTTCACTAGTGCAATGCTTTCAACTGCCTGAGCGGTGAAGTTTTCGTGTGATCTACTACAGTCTGCAATTCAGACTTCCGCAATCTTCCTGCATTAGTTCCTCATGTATATTCAGTTTATCCGGTTAAGCAACGGAACCTCCTCACCATTGCCCGAAAAGCCTAGTTTCTTCGGATGGCCACGTTATTTCGATACCTTCATCTGCTGGATGATTTTACTTGAGATATGCAGATACCATGGGTTTGGGTCTCAACTACCTGACTATGGTCTTTCCAGCAACGACACAAACCCATATGGATAAACGCCATGTTATCCAAAATCTAGTCACCTGTCTCTGATTGCATCGATATACTTCTCGCGCTACACAAATGAGATCGTTATCACTAACTCATCCTTCAGATTCAGATCGATGATGAATAGTCTTTGGATCAACACGAGACATAATGATCACACTGTGCGAACGAAGTATTCGCGAAAGTTAGAGTGTTGTTGTTTGTACTTCTCATCTGGCATCCACCTCCGTCGTCCGCCATTCGATCCATTGAAATTATTCTGCACGTGTCCCACCCCATTGGAAATACCGTTCTTCAGTGGAGTTCCAAGGTCTATTGAATAAGCATTTTATAGCAACAACCAAGTTACCTTAACATATACGATAACATTCCAGAGCCGATTTACGTTGAGGTTACAGTGCTCACCTATATTGAATCAGTCAGTAGATTGCTTTGAGCGCTCTGATGTCAGCCACTCTCTTCACAAGGTATTATGCTAACGTATATCCACATCGCTAATAAGAGGAAAGTACGAAACGGTGTGTGCACTCGGTCCAGTGATCAGTTCAACAACCTTATGAAGTCGAAATATAACGTTGATCTTTTTTCTAAACTGGATCGTACATCCTCC